CTTACTCTCACAGTTCTTTAGGGTAACAGCATCACCATAGAAGCCTGGCGCACACCGTTCACAGGAGTCTCCATAGGTGTCATTCAAGCAATTCAGACAACGTCCAGTAATGTCATCACAAGCGAAGGGATCTTCAACTTCAATGTTTTCATTGCACTCGCAAGGTCGGCACTTATCTCCTGTTGAACAAATATAGAAAATGCTATATCAATGTAAGAATAATACTTACATATATATTACATTATATATACATATACATATACATATATATATAAAAATAAATACATATACATATACATATATATATACAAATAAATACATATACATATAAATATAAATCTCTGTATACAAGAGTAAAGAAAAGGGCCAGGTGCATCCATGCCAGACTCACCAAGAACCTCAGGCTGGCCATAATATCCTGATGCACAACGTTCACATCTTTCTCCAATGTAACCCTCTTGGCAGTCACATCTTATGGAGGCTCCATCATGTGTCACCTCACAGCTGTCCGCAAAGCTGCAATGACAGACAAAATATATTATTTGTTCTAGTTTGGGTTACATAAGCTGAGCACTTTTGGGGATATTTAATAGTCTTACGACTTTTCCATCACATTATAAGAATATTTCTATGATTGTAAAAAAAAAAAAGGAAACAAATTATAAGGTGCTTACTTGTTTGTAATAGATGGCATTGGACAAGCACAAATAAGACAGTCATATGGAGTACCCCTGGTAGCATCTCCATGGTATCCTGGTGCACACATCTCACAGTAATCACCCACAGTGTTGTGCAGGCAATTCTGTAAATATTAATTTATCATTCAGAACTGATAAATAAATAAAAAATGGCTGGGATGTGTAATCATAAACGTTAATCAGCATACTAATCATCTACAGTGAAAAATTGTAATTAGTCTAGGCAATACCTATAAAGACACATAATTATATACCAATAATTTATTCAGTGAAAATTATGTATGTGATATGGCTAGCTTCCTTACAACTTACAAAGAAAGACCTTGAGACAACTGGAGGAATGTATTAATTATAAAGTAAATCTAACCTTAAAATATATTATTATATAACCAATCTGACACACACATGAATCAAGAAAATATTACAAAGTAATGTGAATTACAGTATCCTACACACACACAAATCAGTGACATGCCTCTCTACACAAACACAGCTACCAGTATCTTAAGGTAGTGCAGAGGAGAGACAAGGACTAGAGATAACAAGAGCATGTTGGAAGAGGAGCTAATTCTCAGCAACTATTAAAGCCAAACTTATCAGCTAGTATGAATGAGAGTTCATACTGGCTGATTGTTCTTGTTCATCGATCCAAGCATGGGACAGATTTTAATACTATGATCTCAACTTTCATTTGCAATTTACAAGAAACACAGAAGGATCATCTTTAAAAGCATTAGAAAGGTGTTAATGTTATAAGGAGAAAAAATGTTTAACCAACTCCTACAAACTGTCACAAAATTCACTTTATGAAAATCAGAACAAATTCCTATCCTTCAGTTAAAAGTAAATCATAAACGATCCAGATAAAAATCCAAATTCCTTTTGAAAATCACTCTACACACTACTCACTCCTTTAAATTTGAGAAATGATGGGAAGAAACTCTGTAATAGATTATATCAGCTATATGTAAAAGCCATATCAATTTAATTCTATACCTATATAATCAAAAACTACTGCACACGTGAGATATATTAATTAGCCATTTACACCAAATCACTACCAATATGCATATAGAACTTACCCAAGAACATTAAAATGTAAAAGATGAGAGAGAAAAAAGTTAACTGCATTCTCCAATCAACTTTTCTAAAATGACTAAGTGAAGGAATAAATATGAAATATATTTCCAACATGAAAAAAATAAATAACATAACCCATACCAAGCACTTTCCAGTCACTTTGTCACAAGTGCTTGCATGGCCATTGCATTGGCACTGGACACAGTATCCACCATATGGCCCTTGCTGAGCTCTATAGTATCCATAAGCACATTCTTCACATGATGAGCCTGAAAAAAATAAAAATTTTGAGTCTTCTAATTATAATACATAACAAGCAAAGCTAGTAGTATAATAACAAATAAGCCTATTATCATTTTGGTCCCCTTGTGCCATAAGCTTAAAAATTCTTTGATTGAGATTTTTATGTAAGATAAATTTATGTAAGATGAATTTCTAGATAAGTGACATAACAGGGCCCTGAAAATCTAATTAATTTCACCTTAAATATCACAAAGAGTACTGACAGTGTGAAAAAATATTTCAAGAAATGTTTTTAAAGGTTACAGGACTTACCTTGGTAATTCACAGGACACTGACACAGTTCAACAGACAAGGATGATCTAGCTCCTGGTCCTGGCCAGTTGACAGTTGCAGCTTCCATACTAACATTGTACAATCTGAAATGAGTCACATTGTTATTTTTGATGCCCATATATCGAGATTACTCATATTTTCTTCCTTAATAAAGCATTATGTGTAAGCATGAGCAACATTATTACCTGGCTTCAACAGAGTTGCTCCAGTAACTGGCTCTGATGAATACACCATCCAGTCCATACAGCAACATCATGAACTGATCCCTCTGCAGTGGAGCTCCTATGCAAATTATGTAATCCATTATTAGAGAGAGTATTTTCATATTAAAAATATATTATATCAGCTGCTATTTCATATCAATCTTTCAGAGCTGACAAAGCTTTTCTGATATATACAAAACAACTACTCTCTTAAAGTCTTCTCTTAAAGATTCTTAAGGCTGTTCTGTTCTCAGTGAATGGGCATTAGGACACATAATTACCTGACAGTGTTCTGAAGCTGTGCTCTGTCAGCCGAACATAACCATCATACACCTGAGAAGTTGCTGGATCATACTCAGAGTAATACAGAGCAATGACATTACTTCCTGTCAGGATAACATCTGGACCTGTAAGCTCAGTTCCTGCAAAGGTAATATAGAGTACAAGAATATAAGAGAAGTATTACATATCATTCCATTTACATATAGAGTAGAATATACCAAAACAATTTTTTTTCTCATTATATAAAAGTGGAAAGTAAAAATCAAGCAAAAGTCATGTCCTTTCTCTCATACATACAACCTCATTCTTTTAATGAGACACCACATAAACTTACCATTATCTCCTTTCACAAACAAGAGTGAATATCTGAAGAATCCACCATAGGACGAAATGCTGTTGCCAAGATATATATCATGAGCAGAGAAGAAAACATGACCCTCTGGAAAGATATTTCCAATAGTTGACAGGTCCTGGACAATGAGCTCTTCATAACGACTAGGTTCTTGGGCCAGTGATGAGAATGACAAGCTACTCTCTCCTGAAGAGGTTTGTTCTACCACAACAACCTCCCAGGCAGTCATTTCATTCATCTGATGAGAGAAAAGAATACAAGTCATATATTTGACAGAAGATATTTTTACAATGGGCCTAGGCTTGTAGCTCTTTATACTTCCAGCATCATTTACAGGGTATATAAATAATTTCTAGGACTTTTTTGTGTGGAAAAAAAATATGTACTCAGGTTTAATGTATCACACATCCTCTATTATCAACCTCATGGTTTCACATATTACATTATCACACAAAAGAAAGATAAAATCAATAAAAACATACCATTAACTCCTCCCAGTAAGCATCAGCAGATGAACAGTATTCAGACTTTCCAAAACAGAAGCACTTTGTGCATCCATTTGGATTGCTCTCTTCCAAGTTATAGGAGCCCGCCTGGCAGGCATCACAGGCACGACCCTGGACATTGGTCTTACAGAAACAGCTGGCATCATCCTGTATATTTGGAGAAAAGAAGTTTACAATTTAATAATAATAACATAAAAAAAATAATAATAGTAATAATAATAATAATAATAATAATAATAATAATAATAATAATAATAATAATAATAATAATAATAATAATAATAATAATAATAATAATAATGATAATGATAATAATGATAATGATAATAATGATAATGATAATAATGGTAATAACAATAAAAATAACAATAATAATAGTAATAATGATAATAATAATAATGATAATACACAATGATAATAACAACGTATCATAAAAAAGCTGACTAAAGGAAACAGGAAAGCTCAAATTCATTACCTGGTTACAAATGTCTGCTTCTGTTCCTCGCAGATCACAGTCACACAGTTGGCAGAAGGGGAAGGACCAGTAACCAGCTTCACATCGCTCACACCTGCACACAAAAAACAATATTAAATATAAAGTACAGGTAAATGAAAGAGGATTATAGCTTCAATTATTAATACTTTCATAATGGATCACATATCTGTCTTATGAACTTACTGTTCTTCGAGTAATACAGATACAGCAGGTAAATGAAAATAAAATATATAAAATAAAATAAATAAATAAATAAATCCAAGAGTCAAAAGTAAGCATATGAAACATTAATACAAAAGGATAATAACATTAACAGTTAATCTCTGATAACTGGCGAGTCCCAAATGTTAAATTACTATCTAAAAATTGGCTACACAAGCTATAGAATCCATAAGTTGATTTATAGTATGGAACTGGAACATATAGTCAGGTTTAATATTTGCTACAATACAAACATACAACCATAGTCATGTTTCCTTAACACATCTGAGACTTGCCTTCTTCCCACTACATTCTCCTTGCAATCACACTGGCCAGTTTCCAATTCACACTGGAGATTCCCAGCCCTAACACCGAGGGGAGAACACTGACACTCTTCACATCCAATGATTGGGTCAAATCCATAGGTGAAGGGGGCACAGCGCTCACACCTGTCGCCCTCAACACGTGGTGGGCAAATGCACTCACCTAAAGGAAATAATATGAGGATGAAATATACACTTTACTCTGCTCTCTGTATAGTTCTGTAAAGACTACTACTCAAGATGTTGAAGTTATATCATATATTCTTTAGAGTTCAATTTTAAA